TGGGGAGGGGGGCCCGTGTGTGTGTGTGTGTGTGTGTGTGTGTGTGTGTGTGTGTCTGTCCCGCCCGCAGGGGGCTCGGCACGGCCTGTGGGCAGACGGCCCGTGTTTGTGTGTGTGTCCCGCCTGCAGGGGGCTCCGCATGGCCTGTGGGCAGACGGCCCGTGTATGTGTGTGTGTCCCGCCCCCAGGGGGCTCCGCACGGCCTGTGGGCAGATGGGCTTGTGTGTGTGTGTGTATGTGTGTGTCCCGCCCACAGGGGGCTCGGCACAGCCTGTGGGCAGCAGACGAGCCTGTGTGTGTGTGTGTGTGTGTGTGTGTGTCCCACCCGCAGGGGGATCCGCACGGCCTCTGGGCAGATGGGCTTGTGTGTGTGTGTGTATGTGTGTGTCCCGCCCACAGGGGGCTCGGCACAGCCTGTGGGCAGCAGACGAGCCTGTGTGTGTGTGTGTGTGTGTGTGTGTGTCCCACCCGCAGGGGGATCCGCACGGCCTCTGGGCAGATGGGCTTGTGTGTGTGTGTGTATGTGTGTGTCCCGCCCACAGGGGGCTCGGCACAGCCTGTGGGCAGCAGACGAGCCTGTGTGTGTGTGTGTGTGTGTGTGTGTGTCCCACCCGCAGGGGGATCCGCACGGCCTCTGGGCAGATGGGCTTGTGTGTGTGTGTGTATGTGTGTGTCCCGCCCACAGGGGGCTCGGCACAGCCTGTGGGCAGCAGACGAGCCTGTGTGTGTGTGTGTGTGTGTGTGTGTGTCCCACCCGCAGGGGGATCCGCACGGCCTGTGGGCAGACGGGCCTGTGTGTGTCCTGCGCAGCAGCTTCCGAAGCTCCCGCCTGGGGTCTGACGGGAGACCAGGCACCACAGGGAGCCGAGCACCCGGTTCGCCTCGAAGTCTGCATCAGAGCCGGCAGCGCCAGAGCACCTCTCCCAGCCGGCAAACCCCTGTGGGTTTCACGGTCGTGTGTGTGGAAGCGGTTTTTAAAATTCCTTCCTGTGGTGTTGGGGTCTGTTTGGTTTCTGATTTCAAGAAAGTCAGCCTTCTTAGCTGTTAGGGGGCTCGCAGCGCGCCGGCGCCCCAAGGCGAGCCGCCCAGCCCTGCCCTCTCTCCCGAAGGTGAGCATCTGCCTGGAGTGCAACAGCAGCAAGCTGCGCGGCCTGAAGCGCAAGTGGATCCGCTGCTCCGCCCAGGCCACCGTGCTGCACCTGAAGAAGTTCATCGCCAAGAAGCTCAACCTCTCGTCCTTCAACGAGGTAGCCCTTTCCCCTGTCGGCCTGATGCCTGAGCTTGGTGTTTCGGGTTTTTTTTTACAACTTTCTCTGGAGAGTTTAAATTAGAAAAAAAAATGTTTGTTTCGCCTGTACCCAGAGTATCCCAGGAGCAGTGAGGCGGGATGGTCCCGAGACCGTGAATCGGGGGGAGGGGGGATGAGAGAGCTGGTTCAAATGTGTTGCGGGTTTAATTTCACCAACGGACAGACGGATGGATGGACGGGCGGTGGGTGGGATGACTGGGTAGGGAGGCAGGGAGATAAAATACTGTCCAGTCGTGATAAATGCCGAGAATAAAACAAAGGCTGGTGACTCGTGGGGCTTGGTGGTGGGCTGGGAGCACACAGCTGGGGAGCCACAGGCCCTTCTGCGGGGCAACACTAATGCCAGGATGTACCTGTCCGCAGGAGCCAGCTGTGCGTGCAGAGGGGCAAGGAAAGGGCTTTGAGGGCCTTAAGCACAGGACCCGGGATTTGAGCTCTGGTTTTAGAATGGTCCCCAAGCTGTGAGAAAAGTGGGTTGTTGGGGTGCAGAACTGGAAGCCAGAGAGGCCAGCCGGGGGGGTTTCACAGGACGGTCAGGAGAGAGGGACCGGGTGGTGAGAAGTGATGGACTGGAGGTACGTTGTAGAGATAGCAGTGGGTGGCCCCGAACCTGTGAACGGAACCGTTTTGGGGAAAAGGTCTTTTCGGATGTAAGTAAGGGTCTTGAGATGAAGTAGCCCCGGGTTATCTGATGGACCCTCACGCCAATTACACGTGTCCTCACAAGGTGAGGCAGGCGAAACCTGAGCCACAGAAGGTGGTGTGAGGACAGAGCAGGGAGGCGGACACAAGCCCGGGACACCACGGCCCCAGGAGCTGGACAGGCAGGAAGGACCCACCCCCCGAGCCTGGGAGGAGCTCTGCCTGCCGGCACGTCTGAGAGTGACCTTCGGCTGTGTAGGCCGCCAGTTGCCATAGAAAATGAAACGAGGTTTTGGGACCAGAAGTGGGGTGATGCTGAACAAATCCCCCAAAATGTGGGTGTGGCTTTGGAGTCGGGTGATAGGTAGAGACGAGAAGAATGTTGAGAAACAACTTTAGAAGCCTTGAAGGTCACCATGAAGAGACTTGTAGGGTGTGGCCCTTACAGGTGATTCTGGTGACGGCCCAGGGGAAGCAAGGCGGCTTCTTAGAGGTAGTGTCGCCAGAAGCGGGTGTGGAAGACCTGGCTCGGCCTCAGAAGGAACGAGGAGTGTGGTGTGGGAACGGGATGCGCTGGCTGTGTCCTGCAGTGCGTGGGAAGCAGTTTTGGAAGTGACGAACTTGGAGAGTTAGCTGAGATGTCCAAGCAAAGTACTGAACGCGTGGCCTGGTTTCTCTGCGTACAATAAAGCACGCAGGAGAGACGGGTTCAGAAAGGAGCGGCTAAGCAAAAGCAACCCAGCACCTGATGCTCTTGGACGTCCACGGCCTGTCCAGACGCAAGAAGATGGGTCTGTCAGGAACGCCATGTTAGGAACTGCGTGCCCCGGGGGAGGCCAGGTGAGACTGCACAGCCTTCCCTACAGAGAGGAGCCTCAGGAGGGGAGGGGAGGGGAGCGGAGAGGAGCTATCCCCGGAGACCTGCGGGTCCGTGACGTCCATGGGAGACCCACAGGGTTGATGAGAGTGTTGTGTCAGCAGAAACACCACCAGCTTGGACAGGAGGAGAGGAGAGGCCATCACTTCGGAGCTCTTCGTGCAGCATCTAAGCGGGTAGAGCGCCTTGGTGCCATCGTGAGCTGCCCTTCAGGGAAAGGGGGAACGGCTCCAGGCAGGCCTTTGGGCAGAGGGCAGACGCTCAGCCCCCAGCGGTGACTCCTCTGCAGCCTCTGGCATTGCCCCTGCTGGACTTCACTTGCTGAGACCAGTCACCCTGTGTGCTTCCTCGTCCACCTCCCTGTGGACGGCCTGTCTCCCGGTGCTGATCACCCTTGTGTCACGGGGCAGGGCTGAGAGGGCATTGCCCAGGTGGACCCTCCCCGGAGCTCACTGCCCCTGGTCAGTGTGAGTCAGGAGACAGGGCTGGGATGTTAAGCTGCTGGCATCTGGATGTGATTTTAGAGTTGATGCTGGAATCACTTGAAATTCCTGGGGATGTGAGATGGAGTGGATGGGTGTGGGTGTGGGGGACCGAAGTGTGACAGCGGGAAGCAGTGCTGGGGGAGTGCGACAGCGGGAAGCGGTGCTGGGGGAGTGTGAGAGCGGGAAGCGGTGCTGGGGGAGTGTGAGAGCGGGAAGCGGTGCTGGGGGAGTGTGAGAGCGGGAAGCGGTGCTGGGGGAGTGTGAGAGCGGGAAGCGGTGCTGGGGGAGTGTGAGAGCGGGAAGCGGTGCTGGGGGAGTGTGAGAGCGGGAAGCGGTGCTGGGGGAGTGTGAGAGCGGGAAGCGGTGCTGGGGGAGTGTGAGAGCGGGAAGCGGTGCTGGGGGAGTGTGAGAGCGGGAAGCGGTGCTGGGGGAGTGTGAGAGCGGGAAGCGGTGCTGGGGGAGTGTGAGAGCGGGAAGCGGTGCTGGGGGAGTGTGAGAGCGGGAAGCGGTGCTGGGGGAGTGTGAGAGCGGGAAGCGGTGCTGGGGGAGTGTGAGAGCGGGAAGCGGTGCTGGGGGAGTGTGAGAGCGGGAAGCGGTGCTGGGGGAGTGTGAGAGCGGGAAGCGGTGCTGGGGGAGTGTGAGAGCGGGAAGCGGTGCTGGGGGAGTGTGAGAGCGGGAAGCGGTGCTGGGGGAGTGTGAGAGCGGGAAGCGGTGCTGGGGGAGTGTGAGAGCGGGAAGCGGTGCTGGGGGAGTGTGAGAGCGGGAAGCGGTGCTGGGGGAGTGTGAGAGCGGGAAGCGGTGCTGGGGGAGTGTGAGAGCGGGAAGCGGTGCTGGGGGAGTGTGAGAGCGGGAAGCGGTGCTGGGGGAGTGTGAGAGCGGGAAGCGGTGCTGGGGGAGTGTGAGAGCGGGAAGCGGTGCTGGGGGAGTGTGAGAGCGGGAAGCGGTGCTGGGGGAGTGTGAGAGCGGGAAGCGGTGCTGGGGGAGTGTGAGAGCGGGAAGCGGTGCTGGGGGAGTGTGAGAGCGGGAAGCGGTGCTGGGGGAGTGTGAGAGCGGGAAGCGGTGCTGGGGGAGTGTGAGAGCGGGAAGCGGTGCTGGGGGAGTGTGAGAGCGGGAAGCGGTGCTGGGGGAGTGTGAGAGCGGGAAGCGGTGCTGGGGGAGTGTGAGAGCGGGAAGCGGTGCTGGGGGAGTGTGAGAGCGGGAAGCGGTGCTGGGGGAGTGTGAGAGCGGGAAGCGGTGCTGGGGGAGTGTGAGAGCGGGAAGCGGTGCTGGGGGAGTGTGAGAGCGGGAAGCGGTGCTGGGGGAGTGTGAGAGCGGGAAGCGGTGCTGGGGGAGTGCGACAGCGGGAAGCAGTGCTGGGGGTGTGACAGCAGGAAACAATTAAATCTAAAGAAGAAAGATCTCAATCGACAGCCCACATTTAGAACTGAAGGAATTGGAAAAAAACAAGCTAAACCCAAAGGCAGCAGAAGGAATGAAGCAATAGAGGTTATGCAGATAAGCAAGTTGAAAGTAAAAAACAGCTGAGTAAACCAGTGGTCCTTCAGAAAGTCTAGCTAGAACGGACTAAGAGTAAAAATGACTAACAGTGGGAATGAAAGGGGGACATCACTACCGATTCCCGAGCAGTAAGAAGGCTTCTCAGAGAACACAGTGAACAGCAGTGCCCAGCCAGTGGCTACCCTCACTGAAAGGGACGAGGATCCGGAGACATAGAACTTACAAGACTAAACCCAGATAACAAGGAAATCTGAACAGGGCGATAACCAGGAAGCAATTGGATCATTCGTCACAGATCCTCCCACAAGGAAACCCTGGCCCTGATCCCTGGCCTTCCGCAGCCCCGGGCCTTCGGGGCGGGAGGTGTGTCTGCAGTAAACAGGGCCGGCTGAGCGTGTGGATCGGTTCCCCACATCGGGCACCCCGAGACTGCTCTGCAGAGCGTGCATGCCTGCCCGCCCGGCCCCCCCAGAAGCAGCTGGGCCCTGAGAACGGTAACCCGTGCTTCCGCCATCGCCTGTGGGCGGAGAAGCCGAGCCCGATGCACAGGGTCCGGGCTTCGCCACTTGTTCAGAGGGTCGGTGGCAATCTCGCCTATTGAATCCTAACGACACCCTCACTCGGCGACCTCCCCGAGGTTGAGGTGGTGCCGTGGGAGGTGGAACTGTCACCCACGACGTGAGGGGCACTTGCCGGTGATGGGCTCTGGGTCACCGGGCAGGTCCCGGTTCCCGCCAGGAGCTCTCGCTAACAGTCCAGCCGGAGCAGAGGCACAGCCGACCAGGACTCGGTCGCCTCTCCACCATGAGCCCAGGAGCGTGTGCATTCCATTCGCCAGCCTCCCGTTCGGTGAGGCTATTGGACATGTCCCAGCGTGTGGACAGCTGGGCCTCGAGCACGGCCCTTCCGTGGACCGTGGTCAGTGCAGTGTCAGGGAGCCTGGCTCTCTGTACCTTTTCTCCACGGTCCTCCCCCCTCTGGCCAGCGCCCAGGGTGACTCCACGCAGCCCGCCCAGCAGAGCACACAGGTGATGGCCCTGAGCTCTCGGGAGTCGGGTGAGAACATCCTGGGACCCGAGTAACAGCGGAAGGTGCATTTTCTTCCAAGTCCTCACCTCAGGATGTGTTTTTATTGATTTAAGAGTGAGAAAGACATGGATGTGAGAGAAGCATCGGCTGCCTCCTGCACGCCCCGCACTGGAGATGGAGCCTGCACCCGAGGCATGTGCCTGACCAGGAAGGAGCCAGGGCTTCTCAGTGCACAGGACAATGCCCACCGCCGGGCCTCCAGCCAGGCTCACAGTCCTGTTTCATTTCTTTCCACTGGAAGTGAGGGGGCCACGCTGCTCCCAGCTCTCCCAGTCCCCGTCCCCGTGGCCGGTCACCTTCGGTGTGAGGGTGGGTGGTTGCAGTGCAGCCCAGGGAGAGTGTGGAACTCGGCCTCAGGGCTGACGTAGCCGCTGCGAGAGCACTGCCCACCGGCCGGACGCACTGCCTTCTCTCTCGAACCGTCCTGAGCCAAGAGGAGCCTGCGTGCCCCACGGTCGCCAGGCGCAGGCGCTGACCCGTCGTGTTAAGCAGCTGTTCTGACAGCTACTGTGAGTCCTAGGATCCCCCCCTTTTGGGAGGAACTGGCGTGACCTGTGCCTGGAGTCTCAGCCTGGCCGATGGGTGGGAGTGAGTGGGAGAGGAGGGTGGCAGCTCTCCAAGGGCCTGACCCCAGAGGCTCAGCCAGGAGCCTCTGGCCTGGAAACCTTTTTTTGCTGAACTGCCTGCAGTGAGCTCGGACGCGGGTGACGGCCTGTGCGCGGGTGACTGCCTTCTCAGGCTCAGGAACTCAGACTCTTGCCTAAGGAGACGTCTATGACCATCTGCCAGACATCATATCTCTCCAGGGACATGGAGGCTGAAACAGCAGTGAGACTCAGAGCACACGTGTCGGAACGGCCCGCATCCAGGGCACGGACCCCTCGTGCTGGGGACGGAGCAGCAGGGCCTCAGGGCTGGGGGTGAACGGTGCCGTGCAGCTTGGTCACTTCTCACAAAACCAAACGGATGCACACCACACAGCCCAGCAGTCAGGCTCCGTAGCAAACATTCAGGGGAGTTAAAAACCCACGTCCACAGAGACCTGCACATGGATGTTTGCAGCAGCTTTACTCTATTCACCCCAACCTGGAGGCAGCCACAGCGCCCTCACCAGGTGGGAGATAAACACACCGTGTCCATCCAGACTCCGGACACCCTTCTGCCCGAAAAGGAAATGAGCGATCGAGCCAGGGAAGCTCGGAGGAACCCTCAATGCTGTGCCTCCGTGCGGAGGCCAGTGCGAAAGCTGCCCACTGCGACCCCACCCACGGCGTCCTGGTCGCCGGGGCGGCTGAGCAGACGGAGCGAGGGTTCCAGGTTCTCCGTGAGACTGCGGCGGGCACTTTGTGCAAACCCACAGGGCGTCAGCACAGGGCGACCCTCGTGGACTCTGGGTGGTGGTGACGGCGTCTCCCTTCCAGGGGTGCTGGGGAGGCGACGGGGCACGTGGGAAATGTCTGGACCATCTGCTCAGTTTTGCTGTGAACCTAAAACCTAAAAGGCTCTAAAAATCTTTTTTAAAAAAGAAAGTAACAACAGGGAGCCCATTACCTTTTCCCATGAGGTGGGAGGGACAAGCTTGTGAGGGCCGCTGGGGCTGTCCGGGGGGTGTGGCCAAGCTTCACGCTTCCTCGGCGAGGCCCTGGTGCTGAGCGCCTGGCCCCGCTGACCCGGCGTCTTTCCCGCCAGCTGGACATCCTATGCAACGAGGAGATCCTGGGCAAGGACCACACGCTCAAGTTCGTGGTCGTCACGCGGTGGAGGTTCAAGGTGAGGCCTGATGTGTTTGATTTTTAGAATCTGCTACGACGTCAGCACTTCCTGTGCAGTTCTTCCATCCTCATCCGAGGAGCTGTTCACCGATGTCTTTAGAGGGAGAAACACGGTCAGTTGCCTCCCATGTGCACCTGACAGGGGACTGACCCACAGCCTTTCAGTGCACGGATGACGCTCCGGCCCGGGAGCCACGGGAGGGCGGCACCTCTTCATCTGAGAGTTTAGAGATAAGGGTTCAGGCGCAGGAGCTGTGAATCGCAGCCCAGCTGCCTCCCACGCCCCTCCTGGCGGCATGGGGGCGCTGCCACTGCCAGGGTGCCCGCAGCTTTCCCTGGGCTCTTTGTGAAGGTGGGAGCAGGTGGGCGGCGCTCTGTCCTCTGGGGAGGGGCCCTCAGAGGTCTGAGACGGGGCCAGGAGCCCGCACCCTCCGCTTGCCCTCCCTCCCCTGGGCGCCCGCTCGCCGCTCTGGTCCAGCTGAGCCGTGCGTGGCCCCGCGGCCTGTCTTACAGAAGGCGCCCCTCCTGCTGCACTACAGACCCAAGATGGACCTGCTGTGACCTGCAGACGGCCCGGGCACGGAGCACGGGCGCGCACCCGAGGCCCGGGACCAGACTTGTGCACAGAGAGTATTTATACCTTTTGTATGAGAGTTCACACTCGACAAGACACTACCAGCAGCTCGGTAACAGGTGGCCACACACTTCACAGGCTCACGCGGCCGCCAGCCCTCGCGACCCTCAGCTTCACGGACCCGCGGCCTCCCCGGCCTCCAAAATCTCGGTCGTTTCATGTAGTTTATGAGTTAGGGTTTGTGACAAAAACACATGTGCTCACGGGGTCCTCACTAAGCTGTTGAAAACGCGCTTTCGTGGTGGACGATGACTTTATGTTGCCTGTAGCTCCCGGAAGATCGACAAGAATTAACTTTAAGAGCAAAACAAAAGAGGCTGCCGCTCAGTGCGGTGCCCGCGGCGTGTGATGTCCCTGTCGTGACCCGAGGGAGCCCCTGTGCGTCCACGCACAGCCGTCTCGGTAAAGTCACGTTGATCACTAAACGCGGCGCCATCGTCAGAGCACGCGCCCTCCTGCTGCGAGGGAGCTGGTGGCACAGGGAGTCCCAGGCCCATCTTCCCGCTGCAGGGGTGCCCGCCTCCTCTCTGCCAGTCGCGGTGGTTCTCACCGAGCACCAGGGCGGCCAGGGGACAGCACCCCAAACCCAGCCCCAGGGACTCGCTTTCTCACCCAAACATTCATATTTTTGTGGAATTAGAGAAAAAACATTCGACAGCACGCAAACGTGTTCCTTTAAGATAGTCCCTTGGAAGGCATGAAGGCGAGCTCGGGGAGAAAGGCCCGTTCCTGTGGTCACTCCTGCGTCCCCCGGCCCCTCCCACCCCTGAGGCCTGTGGTCCCGCCCTGCGCCCACCCTGCCTCTGTGCTGGGTTTCCCATGAAGTCCTCACTTTAGGGACAGAACTTTCTCAAATTGGCTCCAGACCTGTGGGCTCGTGGGCTGCTTCCTGTTGCACGTACACAAGGGTCAGAGGCAGCTATGATGAGCCATCAGCGTAGAGAAAAACCTTCAAATTAATTCAGTCCAAGCAATTTTAATGTCAGGCCTTTAAAACCACCCAACGCGTTAGGGATTGGTCAGATCGCTCTGTTTCAGCCGTGACCCCGTCCTGTTCGTCCCCGCGGTCCTCCGTTGCTCTCCGAGGCCTGGCGAGTGGATGTGTGTGAGCAACTATGACCTGTCTACCTCAAAACGCACATTGCCGCTGGCGCATCTGTCGGACCCAGGACCCCAGTGCGGTCTCTGGGCCTAGGGGGTGGGGGTTCCCGTGGGGTGAAGAGGGGTGAACAGCGTGAGTGTCACCTTCAAAAACATGGTTCCCGCTCAGACCGGGCCGGGGGTGTCTGCAGCCGCCCGGTGCACATCGTGACCTGTAGCTCTCTGTGCGACCACTTGAATTTGCTATGGTGCTAAGCTGATATCTTGAGATACGCCGAGAGGGGCCGAGAGGGGCCCGGGCCGGCGGGTCCACACCGCTGGCTCGGCCGCTCTTCTGGCCGCGGGACCTGGGGAGCCCCAGCAGCAGCAGAGCCTATTTTTCTACGACTTCCTCGTGAGACTGTTCACGCAGACGGCGGGACCTGCCTGGTTGGACCGCAGCCCGTGGACTCGGCTGGGGAGGCTGATGCACTTTCTCCTGCGTGAGAGTCGGGTCGGAGGGGCAGGCCGCGGGGTTTCCCAGGCGGAGTTCCCGGGCGTCTCCCTCCCGTGTGCGCGGCTGGGACGGGCGCTCCGCGCCTGCGCCCTCGGCAGCCGTGGGACTCACCGTGCGGTTTTCACGAAAACAGAAAATTCAGATAGAATATATAATGTGGAATTTAAGATTTGGGGGGTTGGAAAAGAAAACTTAACTTTATAAAATTATTTATTCTATTTTAAGCGTTCTATCCTATTTTCCCATCAGCCATCCGGTTCGTGCCGCTTTGTTTACAGGCATATAAGGTGAAAGGGATGTTCTGCAAGCTTCTTCCTTTCTTTCGGGGCGTCGCCCTGTGTTTCCGTTTGTCGGGTGAGGAGCGTTGTTATGCGTTTATGCTTTTGTGCAATAGGCTCCACGCGTGCTGCCCGACGGGACGGGACGGGGCGTACGTGGATTCCCAACCTGCACACGGAGCTACTTGGGTTTCCTTTTTCGTTGTTGTGATGAGAATGCTGTTCTCGGGATGACGCACAGCGTGTCAGCAACATCGCCAACAGATGCCCGGCAGGCAGGCAGCCGCGTGCGTGGCCTCGCACCCGGACCCCGCGTGCTCAGGCCCTGGCACACCGCCCCCACCCCTGGCGGCCCAGATGTGGGGTGCGGTCCCAGGCCCCGAGCCCTCGGGCGTCCGTCTGGTGCCTCCGCACAGGCTGTGCCGCTGATTCAAAGTGTCATCGGGTTGAATGTTCTAGGAGCAAGCCAGCGGTTTCTGTGATGTGTCACTGTTGGACGCGCCCTCAAAACGGGACATCACGCCAGTGCAGACAGTCCGTTTCTCATTCCTCAGGAGCCCATGTGCACCCCCACGTCACCTGTGCCCTTAGCCCATAAGGTGTGTGTCTGCCTCGGTTCGCAGCGCACGGGGGGCACTGGGATGCGCAGATGAGAAAGGGTTCAGGCTGCACTTCCCGCGAGGCGCCTGCCGGGCAGGGAGGGCCACGCCCCCACATCAGGTGTCCCCACGGCGTGTTGGGTGTAAGAGAACCACGTGTTCCCAGTCGGTGCGGGTTCGGGCGGAGCCTGCCATCTGCAGCGACACGGCTGCCATGGGTTATGGGATGGCAATGCGGATGCATATTTTTGTTTAATTTGAAAGTTTACATTTTTATGCTTTGTGTTGGTGTGTAACTTTTGTACTATTGGTGGCTAGTTTTGTCTAAAATCTTTTTTGGAATATTGCTTCAATGTTTTGATTTTATGACGGTGAAGCTTGTATTCAGTGTTTTGCCAATTAATATTATATGCTTGTAATAAAAGCAAAGGAAACAATGGTCTCTCTCAGGCTGGGAGCTTGTCATCGACAACATTTATAAGAGCCTACGGTTGCCGCGGGAAACCAGGCTGCACGCTCTGGTCTGGATCCTGGGGGCAGGCCTCGCCCGCGGCTCCACGGCACCGGCACCGAGGAGCAGAGTCCTGTGAGGGGCCCCGGGATGGTGCTGGTTTGGCGGGGGAGGTGGCGAGCGCTTCTTTGCGGGAGGCCAGCGGAGGCAGGGGTGAGCTTCCCTGTGGCGGCTCGTCAGCCGGGCTCTGCGCGGACCAGACCCCACAGGAGCCCAGACACACACACGGATCCGTGGACGTGGATTCCCCCGAGGAGTTTGTGCACATCCCAGAAGCCCGGGAGGGCGCAGGCCATGCACCCAGGGGCCCGAAGACCGCCTCCAGCTCGGCCATCAGGTGAGCAGCGCCCCTCCCACTCAGCCTCTTGGCTCGGTCCGGGCCTGCGGGGTTTGAGTGGTGCCCACACATTGGGGAGGACTCAGGTGCCAAGGCTCAGCTCATCCAAAGCAGCCCCCACACCAGCAGTTTTAATCTGGGCCCCAGGGGCCCCTCATGTTCCCATGAAATTCCCATCCGACCATTTGGAGGGGAGAGGGCCTGTGCTCAAACACCTTCATTTTTTTTAAACATCAATGTGAGAGAGACGTACTGACTGCCTTCCATATCCACCCGACCCCGACCGAGGTCAGGGGATCCAGCCTGCAATGAGCCTGCAACCAAGGTACACGCCCTTGACTGGAATTGAACCAGGACCTTCAGTCTGCAGCTGAAGCTCCATTCACTGAGCCAGCCCAGCCAGGGCAAAAGAAGCTTAATTTTTAAAATAGCTTTTCTATTACGGTTCATGTACAATATTATATTAGTTCCAAGTGTACAATCCAGTGATTAGATGTTTATATAACTTACGAAGTGATTTCCCCCCAAAAAAGTCAGTGCCCAGCTGGCACCAACACAACATGAAGGGAAAGAACGAGGTGGGAGGATAGGTTGGCACTGCCCGCTCCCCGGCTGACGGTGCGGTGACAGAGCCGTGTGGCGTTGGTAGAAGAACCACACACCAAAGGGACAGAAGAGAGAGGCCGGAGAAGGACCCCCCCAAGACGCGCAGGGGAGTAGAGGCAGCCTTCCCCACAAACGTGCCGCAGAACAGCTCCAAAAATACAGAGTAAACAGGCCCTACACCTTCCTCAATGATGAACTCAAAATGGATCGCAGACCTACCCCAGCTGGTGTGGCTCAGTAGACAGAACATCGGCCTGCAGACTGAAGGCTCCCCGTTCAGTTCCAGTCAAGGGCACAGGCCTGGGTTGTGGGCTTGATCCACAGTGTGGGGCGTTCCAGAGGCAGCGGATCCATGATTCTCTCCCATCACTGATGTTTCTCTCTCTCCCTCTCGCTTCTTCTCTGAAATCAATAAAAATATTTTTTAAAATAATAAAAAAATGGATTACAGACCTAATGTAAAATACAAAATTATAAAATTCCTAAAAGTTAATGGGAAACTCTAAATGACCTTGGGTTTGGCAATGAGGTCTTCGACAGGATACCACATGTACGAAAGGAAAAAGCAGTAAGTTGGGCTTCATTAAAAGTAAAAGGTTCTGCTCCGTGGGCAGAGAATATTTGCAAGTCACTGATCCTCTATAATAAAAGCCTAAGATGCTAAGTGTCCAGTCATCCGTTCCACCAATCAAAGTGTAATATGCTAATGATATGCTAAGGCTGCTCAACCGCTCACTATGATGTGCGCTTACCACCAGGGGGCAGTCAACCAGTCACTATGATGTGCACTGACCACTAGGAGACAGACCCTCCAATGGGTAGGTTAGCTTGCTGCAGGGGTCTGGCCCATTGGGACTGAGTGAGACTGGCTGGACACGCCCTGGAGCCCTCCCGCAGTCCCTCCCTGGTTCCGATTGTGCACCCCTCTCTCGGCCTGGCCTGTGCCCTCTCGCAATCTGGGACCCCTCGGGGGATGTTGGAGAGCCGGTTTCGGCCCGATCCTGCAGGCCAGGCCGAGGGACCCCACTAGTATCTGATAAAAGACTGTCATCCAAAATATACAAAGAACTCTTAAAACAAAAATAAGAAATCAACTCAATTAAATGTGGGCCAAAGACCTAACAGATACCTCGCCAGAGACACAGATGGCAAAGAGCCCACGAATGAATGCTCCGAATGATGTTGTCAGAATCCTGACGTTAGAATAATGTCGGAACGGCCAGGGTCCAGGACACGACACCACAGTGCTGGCGGCAGGAGCAGCAGGCCTCGCCCGTGCTGGTGGGCGTGACATGTGGCCACCTTGGCCACTTGGCTGTTTTATGACGAAACTAAACACACTCTTACCATGTGACCGAGCAGCCTTAGTATTTATCCAAATCACTTCTGTCCACACGGACTTTTCACAGATGTTCAGAACAGCGTTATTCCGTCTCGAAAAACTTGGAAACGACCAAGCTGTGCCCTGCAGGTGAGAGGACTGTCACATCCAGACAGAAAAGAGGGGCTCTCAGGCCGTGCAAACGTGGAGGAACCTTCACCGCATGTCACTGAGTGACAGGCCAAGGCGAGAGAGCTGCACAGGCGTGACTCCCGCTGCGACACGTCCCGCAAAGCCACGCCTTCGTGCGGCGGCGGCGGGAGGGTCTGGAAGGAGGGACAGGCTGGTGGAGCTGATCTGTGACGCGATGTCCTGGACCCATGTCACCCCTTTGTCCAACCCACGGAATGTGCCGGAACAAGAATGAGCCTTTAACGCTGGACTGTAGTTAGCAGCACCGTATCCTTGGCTCCGCTAGTGCAACATGTTCATCAGCGGGGAGACGGAAGGAAATGCTGAGTACGTTCCACTCCGTTTTTCTGTGAACCTACAACTGCTCAATATAAAGTTTATTGATTTTTTCACAAAGACAACAACCCAGCTGTTTAAAACGACAGAAGATTCCAACAAGACGTCTGGGAGGAAGATGGGCAGTGGCCACAAACACTGGAAAGTGTCAGGGAAACGCACACGAGCCAAGAGGAGCTCCCATGCCGACCCCCAGGACTGAAACCTTAAGACTTTATGGACTGGCCTTGGCCGGTGTGGCTCAGTGGATAGCGCGTCGGCCTGCGGACCGAAGGGTCCGGGTTGGACTCCGGTCAAGGGCACGTACCTGGGTTGCAGGCTCCTCCCCGCCCAGGCCCTGGTGCAGGAGGCAGCCCATGGATGTGTCGATCTGTCTGTCCCTCTCTCCCACTCTCCCTGAAAGTCAATGGGAAAGAACAGTAACCCGTGTCTTTCCGAGGAATAACGGGCACAGCAGCCGGGGATGCAGTGCAGCAACTGCACAGCGTACCTGGGTTGCAGGCTCCTCCCCGCCCAGGCCCTGGTGCAGGAGGCAGCCCATGGATGTGTCGATCTGTCTGTCCCTCTCTCCCACTCTCCCTGAAAGTCAATGGGAAAGAACAGTAACCCGTGTCTTTCCGAGGAATAACGGGCACAGCAGCCGGGGATGCAGTGCAGCAACTGCACAGCCCCCTCTTCTCCCCCACAAGCGCCGGCCGGGGCTCCCCCCACGGCCCCGACCCCACGGCCC